AAAAGGTTAACGGACAGAGTGCTGAGCGTGAGCTCAGCATGCAGCGATATGGGCTCGTTCTTCATCCGCTCTTCCACCGTCGGGACGAGCGGCCTCGGATGGTTTCGTTGCCGATGTCCTGAAAGATGTCGCCCGTCGTGACTTCGACCGGCACGCACGCCTGCCCCAGCGCATCACGAGCTTCACGCCCTCCAGTTTGGTTGACGCGTCAATGTTGTTCATGCTGAGTGTGCCCACTAGCTTGGAGACTTGTTGGACTGGCACCACGCTCGGGTTGTGCACGTGCACGCAGGGAAGGCCCGTCAACGCGTGAAGGCTGTAAGTCGACGACTTTGGCGCCTTCGCTGCCAGCTGGGACTTCTGGGCGGGTTCAGCCACTCTGGCTTTCGTGTTTGCCTCCCAGCTACTCGAGTACATGCGCCTCGTCCCATTCCTCGTGGCTGCGGCGATTTGCCTAGCGATAGCAGTCTGCCAGCGCGGAGCCTCGGTGCCGCGCGTGGCGAGGATTCACTTGACCTCATCGCTGCCGGCTCCAGCAGCCGGTCAACTTGTTCGCGACACACCGCCCCCTGCTCCTTCTGCCGCCGCCGCAGAGCGGCTTCGCGTCCTGCGTGGCGCGGCTCGCGTCTATACGGACGTCTTTCGCAGCCCGGACAGCTCGCCGCCGGAGCACTTTGAGGGCCGCAATCCGTGCTGGGGAGACGGGAAAGCGCAGCATTGCCTCCCTGCCTTCTACCTGCTGGGAGTGTACCAGGCCGGCGTTCTCGACCTGTACTCGCGTCTCGAGGCCCACCCCAGCGTTGCCAAGCTGGCCCGCTCCTCGCGAGTGGCGCACTCCTTCTACTCGCAGGTGCACCCAACGTGGTCCGAGTACCTGCGAGCGCTCGCTCCCGCGGTCGGCGAGGCGTCGGCAGGCCGGCTGATTGGCGAGGCGTCGCCAGTCACCTTCCACTTTGTGTGGGTCCATCAAGAAAAGTTCAACACGGCGTACGTCGAGGCGATGGGCGGCTTCTGGCGCGAGTGCAACGGCAGGAGCGCCGCGGCCAAGCTCGCGCTGCCACACCGCGAGTGCATGAGGCGGAGGATGCCCGAGGCGCGCGCGGCCGAGGCGGCGGTCGCGAGGCGCGCGGGCCTCCGCTTGCAGCCGCCGACCCTGATGCGGGCGGTGTACGGCTCCTTCGAGCCACGGCTCGTCCTCCTCCTGCGGCGGCCAGCCGAGCGGATGCACGCCGCCTTTTACAACTACGTCCACTACCGCAGGAGGTACGCAGAGCTCGGCTCTGACTCGGCAGGCGAGCTGGCGTGGGCCAACGAGTCGGTCTCCGCCTTTGAGCGCTGCACGGCCCGCTTCGGTGCCGAGGACTGCGCGCTGTGCTTCGAGTCGCTCACGCGCGAGAACGAGGAGACCTTTTACCACGCGGACCAGCTGATCAAAGGGCTGTACGCCCTGTTCCTGCCGCACTGGCGGAGGGAGTTCGCACACCTGCTGCCGCTCCGCTCCGAGGAGTACTTTGCCTCGCCGCGAGCCGTCCTCGGGCGGGTGCTCCCCTTCCTGGGGCTACCGCTGCCCGCTAGCGAGCGAGAGTGGGGGCCACTGCTGGACGGGCCACGCGTGCTTCACGGCACCCGGCCGGGCGGCGGCAAGCCTCCCCTCCCGGCCGCCGTCGCGCAACTACTCC